AGTGAGAACCAGTCTGAAGAAACAAATCGTCGGAACGACGTATCATTTTATAGTCTGGCGAGTCCAAACTCACGAAATGGAAGAAATACGCTATGAATGGTGATATTACGACTTTCCATCGCTACCCGACATCGGGGGAGCACTAAAAGAACTTGTAATTCAGTGGAGGAGAAGAGATGAGGCTCATATCACTGGAAATATCAGTGATGCATGATATGTAGCATGTATGATCTGAATTCACGTTTTGTCTCACTCCAGAGCGCCCTTGTTTGCTACACAGGTTACCTATCTGTGGCCCTGGAGTTGATATCGACGCCTGTCCTCCTGGAGCTTCGTTTCATCGCCTGTGTCTATCTGCACTGCATATGAGATCCGCTGTCTCCTGTTCGAGACTCTCACAGAGATGATTCGCTGCCAGGGTCAGGCGTTGTATTTCTTTTGATCATACAGCCAGTAGCAGGGCCATCAGTCTACTCACATAACGAGTGTATACCGTTTTGAATCAAGTCTGCGCCGATTGTGGAGACCAATCTACAGACCTACACCGGATTGTCGCACTGGGTCTATAGGTCCTCATCCTGGATCATCTCTGCTGTATGCTGTACAGATAACTTTCAGGCACGGGCTCTGGGTGGACTCGGATATAAGTGACAGGAGAGCCGTTATGAGGCAACCCGAGTGTCGGAGTGGAGTAAGAATACCAGAGCCTGTGATGATCATTGAATTCGACAGTAAATATGACATTGGCCCTCGATCCGATTTAAATTGGACGTCCCCCAAGGCGGAGATTGCGTGGAAGTCCAACGGCGTCGATGTGCATAGCTTTGCCTGCATCCGTGGTTTCAGATTGACCCGAGGATCGGAGCCGACCGTCGGAATGGACATCAGATGACAATATTAGCCGAGCTTTTCTTCGTACTCTGATATGATCCGTAAAGGTACTCGATTCGTGTCCGCAATTACAGCGCACGATTAGGCATCGTTTCAATGACAAACAACCGTCAGATCAGTCTTGTCAACACCTACCAAACATGTGCATTGCAATATGAGACAGCGTATCGCTCATACATTGCGGATCAGATCCTATTTATAAACACCAGAGAACTCTTTTTTACCCAGAATTACCGGCCGAGCGGTCCAAGACGCAATATCTGGAGTTTTCTTTGTCTGTAATAAGGCGTACGCCCCAGAAATAATACACGCAATCTCGATTGGACAAAACCGGTGAAACATCCCGACATACTAGACATCAGTAGGGGACCATATTGGTGTAGCAACGTCGCTGAAACGAGACCCACGCTCATATCACAGGTTCCGAGGATCGGAACTGACCAAAATGAGATTGGACTCTTGGTCATCAGATGACAATACTAGATAAGTTGCTCTGTGTGCTCGGATATGATCATAAGAGTTCACATCGCCCGCGATAACAGTGCATGATTGGGTACCGTTTCAGTGGTGAGGATTGATTGGTCCTCTGTCGATACATGGAGTCCTACCTGGGCAAGCTGAGTCCGAAATCAGTCTGAAATCCTGATCAAAAGTTCATTTACAATTTACGATGCGTGCCGTCGAGTACGCACTCGACGCATCGACCGACTCAGAACCAAATCATCAAGGTTCTTCGCCGCTTCAGTAATCTTGAATACGAAGACTTGGTAAGCAAGAGAAGACTTCTCCACTATCCCAAGAGAACACACGACCAAAAGCTCGTCTACTCGCCGATCTCAACAGAACTCTTTGTGACCTTCGGTGTCGGTGCCGACCTTGGTGAGATATCGACAAAATATTACGGTCCATGACTAGGTTCATTATCTTGACTGCTGATGATACCACCTTTCAGAGTAGTCTTAGCAACGTCAGGTTATATTATCGTCGACGGAGGTAAAGTACAGGACCAGCCCTGCCAACCCTGGCGACGGACGCAAAATGATGTCGATACGCGGGTTCCCGACGAGCGCGTCGAAGGAGGCGAAAGCAAAGTCGCGGGCGTACCAGGAGCTGAAATCACGTTTCCCGAGGCAACTGTCAAATGGGAGTGATGTCCTGCCATCCTACGCAGAACCACTCCCACCCGAACCCTGCCTCCGCTTCCGGGCGCCCCATACGCAAGGCCAGTAAGGGCCAGGTGAAGAACTCCAGACTTCGTCTCATCAAGAGACGACATTGCCGTACTACAAGTGACATGAAGTGACGCAGCCTATAATACACACGTTCATTGGGATACGCCGTCCAAGTATACCGGCTGTCGGCTTGCGATGTTCCTACCTACAGAGAGAGAGTCTCAGCCACACACGGTCGCTGAAGCATGTGATAGGAAAGCCTCCCTCGGGGGATATAAAGGGCGAACTAGCCTGACTAATTATTTCTTCTAGCTGGCTCTCGCTTCTCACTCTTTGCTTTTCTCAGATAACGTAGAACGGGTTTCTTCATTACTTCCCATCTTCAACAGCGTCAATGGGCGTGTCGTCTATCTTCAGTATTCACCCTCGAAGCGCATAGGCCTTTAGATTATCCACTACATATATATATGTGCTCTTCTTTTCATCACAATTGTGGGTCTTATCCACTGGAGGAAGAGAATGAGTCGATTAGAGGATACTGAAAGTCGTGAGTGCCTGGAAAATAAATATATAAATATGCGGCTCGCGTAGATGGCACGTGAGTCGATAACTAAATATACAAGAATAAAGCCTTCTCCGGACTATTTGAATAACTTATAAAAGACTATGATGCTGCATAAATAATAGAGTCTGGACTACTTAGTCTATAGTTGACTGGTGGGAATCGAATACGGTCTCGTTTATGGGTTGTTGATCAGGTTTCTTGAATGCGTCGCGAGGGTCTGAGAGTGAGCGGCGCTGTTATAGCTATGATTGGCTGATTCCTGGAGCTCATGTCCCTTCTGGAAGAGTGAGAGACTCTGTGGGTAATCCGCATGCTCAGCTTGATTGAATTTGCTCTCTGCGGCCTTCTCGCTCGTATGACCATTAATCATGTGTGTATGATAGTTCGTCGAGTGCTCGTTTTCTTTCAGCAGGTTGTACCGCAGACGCGACTCAGCACTCGCGTTTGTGTGCGCGTCTATGTGGTGCTGTTGCAAGGTTCCAGCCGTCTTTTCTCGTTCCACGGTCTTTGCAGCTCGCTGGCGTGCATTGTCCGCTGCCCTATAGTTATCATGAAGAGTCTGGTGTGCGGCTTGGAGATTGGCTCTCTCCGTCGTGTGATGTTGAATCGCAGTGTCGTGTTGGTTGCGTCGAAGGAGGTGGGGATGAGAAGACAAGTCTTTTCCATCTAGTGCAGGCTCCTCCTCCGTATCTGGGGCGACTCCATGACTAGATAGCTTGGCAACAGTCGGGGCTTCTTTACCAGCCTCTGTTAACAAAGCGATTGATCCATGTTTTCTAAAAGAGTATAAGTCCAAATGTCCAAATATGACCTAGTATGTGATGATGCTTCAGACGTACCCAGATGTATCAGTTGAGCTGTGAATCGGCAGAGCAGCTGATAGAGTTACGGCGAGAGAGATAACAGAGAGGACAGATAAGACGCGCATTGTTGCGGGAAAGGAGGTGAATGAGTAAATAAGAGGAAAGAAGCAAAGCTCTGCTTTGGATAATCAAGGAGAAACGAAAGAAGCAGAGGAAAGGGGAAAGTGAGAACCTGTCTGAGGAAAAAATCCGTCGGAATGAGGTGCCATTTTATAGTCTGGCGAGTCCAAACTGGCTGCATGAAAGCCATATGATATGAATGGTGATATTACGACTCTCCCATCGCTACCCGGCATTAGAGGAGTAATATGCGCGTTTGTAACTCAGAGGTCGAGAAGAAGTGAAGTTCATATCATTGACAATATCAGAAATGAGTAAAATGCAATGTTCATCATTCAAAATCTCGTTTCGTCTCACCACAGCGTCCTTATTCGCTACACCCGTTACCTACCTGCGGCCCTGGGCCTGATATTCCCAGATGTCTTCCAAGGGGGTTTTTTTCATCGCCTGTGTCTACCTGCATTGCACATGGGCTCCGCTGTCTGTTGTTCGAGGTTCTCATAGATGTGAATCGCAGCCAGGGTCAGGCGTTGTATTGCTTTTGATCATACGAAGCCAGTCACAGGGAAGTCAATCTACTTCTTAATACCAAGTATTAGGAGTTTCGAATCGAGCCTATGCCGATCGCGGAGAGCAATCTACAGGGTTACACCAGAAGGCTGACTTGAGTCCATGAGTCCTCATCTTGGGCCATCTGTAGCTTTGCTGTGAACTGTAAGGATAACTCGAGCATGGGCTCTGAGTCGGAACTCGGATATAAGCGGAGAGTACCAAAAGATGCTCTTATCATCCGATGTGACTGAGAATATGGTATCGAGTATGCTTCTTATGATCCTGAACCTTGTATTCCCACCATCACCAGGTAACCACCTTCATGTAAAGTCCGCAAAGGGCGTAGTTCTCGTAAGTGACAATATGGTGATGATGAATCTTGTGTCAGAATGCGGAGAAACGCCCTGATCATTCAATGCGACTGCAAACAGGGTATCGACCCTTGTTCAAATTTGAATTGGACGATTACCAAGGAGTATATTGCGTGGAAGTCCAGCGGTGTGAATGTGCATAGCATGCTTGTATGCGTGTGATCTTCGGTTGGCCAAGGCATCGGGGGTGGCCCTCGGAACCAGGACGAGAATTGATTTTAGGACATAAGGACATACTGTGGCAATATGAGCCGAGAACGAGAATCGGTTTTAGGACATAACATAAGATGGACAATATCAGCCAAGCTTCTCTTCGCACGCTGACTGAATCATAAAAAGCTCTTTATTCGTGTCCACAATCACATTGCACGTTCCGACATCTTTTCAGTGCTACATACCCGTCCTACCTCCGTATCAATATTTAAAACCCATTTATCTTGCCATATGGTACAGCGCATTGCTCATACACCGCCTATCAAATCCTTTTGAAACTGTATTGAAATCCCCAGTTTCACCTTGAATTATTGGTGAGGTGGCCGAGCGGTCCAAGGCGCAAGATTCAGGTTTCTGAGTTTTCTTGTCTGTAACAGGGCGTGGGTTCGAATCCCACCCTCATCACATTTTTCGCTCTCACACGCTACAGCCCTGGTATCTCCGGTGGTTTTGCTTTTTCA